AGGTTTCGAGACTACCCATACATCGTAGATATGAGAGGTATTCACCCTATTTCGTTGAAGATGAGGAATAATTGGTAGTTGAAATTACTCACAACCATATAGTTCTATTGAATCTCACATAGCCTTTCTTCCCAAAAGGTATTATCATCCAGGCTGGACTGGGATGAGGTTTCGACTAAAGTAGTTCTCATCAACATTTTTAGCGGGACTCGAATTCTGTTAGTGCAGCATATAGTTTCGTCAAGTTAAACACTACGCCACATTTACACGTGTGTCCTGAGGTCATAGAGCAGACTCGAATTTCAAGGAAGGCCAGGCCTTCCCCATATCGCGTTCTATGCTGGGAATGTCGATGAAACAAAGTTGTATTTGCTAGTACAATTGACAGCATTACTTATTTTAGTTTATAAGTAGGCTTTAGACTACCAGTAAATTATATATATGAGCTATTCGAGTCCCGCTAAGGGAGCTGCTGAGACCTAGTTGCGGTCGGAACTACAGTACATCCTGGATGAAATAGAATAAATACCTCCCAAATACAATTAAGCTGGCGGTCTTAGTAATTCTGAAAGACTCAGATTATTTGCCATTGATGCCTTAGCTAGTTATCATTTGGCAACATGAATGCAAAAAAATTCAATGTGCACAAAATATATAAAGTATTCTAACGCAAACCTGTCTACACCCATCTGAACAAGAACAGTCTACGTGAATATGAGTAATTAGTAGTGACAGTCTATTGCAATCAAAAAATGCTGCGTGCTTTTGCCTTGTGAAGCTATTATAGTTGTCGTAATTTGATATTGTTGAACTTATTTCCATTTAGAATGAAATGGCGTGATATAGAGATTCGAATGTCGTTTCCACCAGAAGACGAAAGAGGATTCCCCCGAACAGTCGTCTTTTGGTTTTATTGGAACTTGCTGGTTAAAGTTGCCCTGAGGTGATCTCCTGCGATTCCGATGAAAACGTTCCAATGTTTCGATCGCTATATGACAGACATTATAAGCATAAGGTATACTTGTCGCAACAAATTCAAGCTAACAAGTTAATAAAATTTGTCAATTCATACTCGCATACTGCAAATATACTCTCAACCTGTGGACTATTTGGAAGTATATATTGATTTAATTAATTCATGTGCTAAATCAATCTAGTTGCACATGAATATGCCTCCTTGTATACGTACAGGTATTAAACCAACAGTAACACCTTCAAGTTATTAGAACAAAATGTAGCAGTTGTCCTCAATCATCAAATTTTAATGAATCCCTTTTAATTGAGTAGCTATGCAGTGACATCTGTCTGTTTCTCTTTAATAGCATTTTCACGGCATCTTTGTCACCATCTCTTTCTAGATTCGAGCAATATAAACTTCTCAAAATGCAATGTGAAAGGAACTTGCCATAGCCTAATCCATACAAGTCCTTAAAGGTAAGGACCAACTATAGACTAAAATGAGAGTGTAAAAAGTATAAAATGTGGCTTCGAATTTCGGTTGCTGGCCTGTAGTTTATGGCCATTTCGACCCTTGCCTCCCATGCCAGTTCTTAAGCAAATGAAAGTACACAATAATAAATTTGAATCTGATCCGAATTACTTAACTGGTCAGCCAAATTGACTATTCATCGAAAAATTCAGTAACTTCCTGAAATTTCGTTTCTTTTCTCCACTCAACAATATTTGCAGCTAATTACTGTGA